CCCCCCCCCCCCCCCCTCCCCTCCCTCACATCAGTTGCTTCCCTCGGGAACACCCAGACACGATAGCTTCATCCAAACCCAAAACTACCACCCCCTTAACCGCTGCGCAACGGGCAAAACAATACGCCATGATGCTCGTCATGTGATGCCACCCCATACCACACAAACTCCAATCCCCTTCCGCTGCTGCCGCGAAACAAGACAAGCATCACGGCCACGCCCCCATCCCGTCCCAAAACAGCGCGAGCGCACCTTCGTGCGCCGGATCATGTTCTTGTCGCGGATGCCGTCGAGCTCCTTGAGGCGTTTCTCTCCCAGCCTCCTGTCTGAGGCCGTGGCGTTCATCGCCCTCGCGCGCTTGATCGGCTCGGAGAAGTGCTCCGTGAAGCGGGACTGCGGCGGGATTGGCAGAAGCAGCAGCAGCAGCGCCGTTCGTTTCGTGGTTATTGCCGTCCCGCAGTAGAGGCGGAACGTTCCGCAGCAGAAGTGGGAACAATCGCGGAAGAGGCGGAACGCCGAAAAATGAAAACGGAGGAAAAACAAGGGCGGGCAGGGGGGTACATAAGACGTGATGAACAAAATCAGAGGAGAAAGTGTGATGAGTGGGGGGAGAGTGAGAAACGGTGCACTTGAAGGACGACAAAAAGAGAGCAAGACGACACAGAAAACGGAGACGAGGGCGGAAAGCTGGACGGCGAAGGGAAAGGGGCGGAAGGCGGAGGCAAAATCATCGAAGGGAGGGGACACGCGTGAGCCGAGCCGGCTGAAAACTCGGGGACGGGCGGAAACAGGCCCACAACAGGTGGGGTAGTATCCACGACAAGGCCGAACGATGGCGTTGAGCTTTTTCCTCTCGGCCTCTAAACGTTTGTCGGCGATACTGCCACCTGTCTCCCCAAAAAGACGAGCAATCGAAACTGGTAATTGGAGGCGTGTGACGGTGCGTTCTGCTCCCACGAGCGTCCATCGCGCCGACCGGCTTGACCATCGAAAACACGCAAAGTCGTACCACTATTCAATAGGCTATAGGTGGGCAGACAGCGCGAGAAATGCCTTGTGTTTGTGAAACCTTGCTCTTATGCCACCTAAGGGTACGTGTGGTGTGACTCACTTGTTCTCCAACGGCGAGCGGGTCGATGAGGTGCAGCAGGAACCACAGCTCCTTCATATCGTTCTGAAAAAGCAACACAAAGTTGGCGTGGGGGCAAGGAGCACAAAACCGGATCAGCTTCACAATACTGCCAAGGCCGATCAAAGCCAAGAACCAGTCCACACTAACATACCTACAGCTTGAGACGGGGCCAGCGCGGGGGGGGGAGGGGTGTACTCATACTCATAGTCGTGCATGCCATAGTCGTCAGACCATTGACCTCGCATCCCTACAAAGCCGGGACGGAGCACGCCGGGTTCTCACCGGACCAGGCTCTCACATCACCAAGCGCGAAGCGCCGTGAGATATTCGGCGAGTCGCATGAAGGGTGCGCTGCATCCTGCTAAGGGTTTTCGGCATCTTGTGCTTACTTCCTTGCGTACGGATGACAGCTGCGTATGACTTAATTTATTTTCTGGTGCTTTCACTTCCAGAGACAGTTGTAAGCACTGTGTAACTGCCTCGAGGGTGCTTGACCATTTTAACACAACGTGGTGCGATCATCCCCCTTGCGCGGAGTGAGGGTTCTCCACCCCGCACAACATGATCTACTCGACCACCATTATGGTTGCCGCCCCCCCAAAAAAAAACGGAGGTAGAAAAAAAAAACGGTAACCTGGTTGCCGACTTCACGAAGTGGATTGGCTTGTTTTACAACGTCGTTGCC